GTTAGCCCAATTGTTGCGTGGCCACATCCATTTGCTTAGCAGATGACCGTGAAGAATGATCAAATCTCTTTCCTTTAATTTCGTCTTAAATTCCAGCATGCTGGTCGCAAGTGATTTGGTCATCTAATGGAGTAAGCTAAACTAACAACACAAATCGTTTACTGCCTTCCAAGGTAGTACGAGCGACAGTGCTACGAGACAAACTCTGTTCCTCTATTCCCGCCCACTTCAATGAGTATAAAACGGAATAAATCGAAAACACCATGGGATTGGCAGCAACACTTAACTGGAATAGGAGCTGACTCACACAATCAGTAAATTCATGGCGGTCGCTAGATCACAATATTTTGGACCGCACAGGGCAGGCCTTAGACGACCAAACAATGTGATTTCACGGAACTAGGGTACGTTTGACCAATTATCTCGATTAGGTGACCGGGGATCAATGAACTGGCTTTTCGCTCATCCAAGGTCAAGTCAGAGTGATTTGGTACTGCACCAGTTCGCTTGGACAGCTGCTTACGTTTCCGGTCTTCTGTCACTCATACGGATGTATCAGAGGTAAGCATCTCCTTAATATCGCTCGCCGTTAAATGTCTCCCAATTAAACATTTGAGACAGTTGGAGAAATACAGTCAGTTACAAACAAATTTGGTTTTGCGAGAGACTCACCTGGAACCCAGATGAATCTTTCGTTTGTGTTTTAAATGAGTTCCATGTGAGTCTCCCACAGGACCGAATTTGTTTGTAAATGAGTGTATTTCGCTAATTTAGTTCAATTAGACTTCAAGTAGAACATAATGTTGACGGATACTTGGGGACTGTGCCTACCTGATAAGCCGAATCTGGGCGAATCTGGGACATATGTTTTTTCACGAACTACTTCTGAAAGGAAGAAGGCCTTCGCTGTGGAGGTATTTATTCGGAAATGCCAACTGACCGGTTACAGACCATTGAACAAAGAAGCAAAACTCTAATCTGCATCTTAGTTACAAAACCTGGACACAGATCTCCCGAACGAGTCTTCCTGGAGATTCATTGCCTCCAGTCATTCGTCGGTCAAATCCAAGCAAATGTTACAAAGTGGCCCCGCGAATTCCGCAACAGAATTCCATTTTTCAATCGACGCAAAGCAAAATTCTACGAACAACACATACTACTCGCGTGCCTCCCGATCAGTAGTATCACCGTTACACTTCTGAGTAATTTAGTGTCCTCCAGGAATCCGTAAGCAGCGGAGGCTAGTCTTACTCTGAGAAATAAGGTCTAAATCATGGCGCGTCTGTGCTGCAAAGGCAGGTAGGCTTTCCGTAAGCGGAGTGATACAAGATGCAATCAGTTTTCTTGGTGACCAACACGTCCAAATAAGAATGTTTGTTTTTATCTCCAAACTCACGAGGAAAAGCGGTGTTTTTGGAAGGACGTTATAAACCGAAAGTCAGTTTTCTCTCTGCTTTCTGCTTCCTGTCATAGGCTAAACATCGTCCGAGTGTTGTTTTCTGAAGTATCGGTCGTAAAGCGTGCCATTCCGCCCAACTTTCACCATGGAAAATTCTGTCAAGATCGGTCCCGAAATAATTGGTCTGCTACGTAATAGTGCCTTGCAAATAAGATCAGATGTTTCTGGTGTACAGTGAAACTGGGGGTAAGGAGGGAGTGCTAACCATTAGTGAATCAGTCTCACCCAAAAAACTCATAGTCCTATGATAAAAGTTGTTAGTAAGAAGTGACTGTATTCATCCCGCAGTACTGGTGTCCCTACTCAACTGTTCAAACTGATTTAGATGGTTACTTATTAGCGTCGGTCTCGTTAGTTGTTAACAGGAATGGTTGTTCGGACGTAGACAACCTAATGTTTTTCTGCTGCACCATATTTTTCGCCTCTAGGTAAAATCCAACCCTCTTTTGCATAAAAATTGGTGTCATAGCACTTTAGTCGATTTTATGGATGAGATGAGGCGCGTCATGGGAATTTAGGTAAAAAGTAAGGAAGACAAACTTTGTGGTTACACAGCATTTACGCACACACATACACACACAACCACCCTCTGGTGGGATCGCTTAAGGCTGGCATCAACTGATCAGTGGATTTAGGGGGAAAATTGGTAATCGGTCTGTTTTGCCGGAGGCGAATTCCTGAATTTAATTGCTCGCGTAAAGAAGCTGAATACCTGAGAGCAAACCTAGAAAGAAACGTGAATGTGAGATTTGTGAGTAACCTGAGTCATGAACCTGTCCAAGTTATACGCCAGTGCTAACTTGGCAACATCAACTGTAGATGTGCTTTTCGTATTAGTATTTGGAATATGATCAACCAAAAAAATTATTAAACGCGAAATAAGAGCTGTCTCAAGGCCTAGAAGAAATTTCGAAACAGAATGAGTCAGGTAATTTGAAACAAAGTAGAATGTTGATCCATTGAGTTAGGTACATTCGACCACATCGACGAGATGAATAAATCCAAACAGAAACTTTGGAAGAAGATAGCTAACGAATCACGGTTCTTCTGGGGTAGTTAAGTCGTTCGTAGATGAAATATCTGACACTGTAGATCATCAGATGGTTGTTGATCTGTTCGCCGAGCTTGGCGATTGGTTTACAAGCGTTTCGCCTCCAGTCGAGGAGGCATCGTCAGTGCTCAGTTGAGTAGGTTTCAACTACTCAGACCGTATTATTTATCATTATCGCTTGCGTACTTTGCTTACTTCATCAGGTATTAATTTGTTCGTTCTTACTTTTAGGGTGATCATCGGAGTTGATCTGTTCGCCGAGCTTGGCGATTGGTTTACAAGCGTTTCGCCTCCAGTCGAGGAGGCATCGTCAGTGCTCAGTTGAGTAGGTTTCAACTACTCAGACCGTATTATTTATCATTATCGCTTGCGTACTTTGCTTACTTCATCAGGTATTAATTTGTTCGTTCTTACTTTTAGGGTGATTTTTTCTAACTATTTTGTCCCTTGTTCTTCTTTTATCATTGAAGCATACCCGCAGTTTCTCTCCCACGATAAGGGCCTTAAAAATTTCACCAAAGTTTCCATTTAAAAAATCTTTCTGTTAAGCAGTTGGTATTCTAGGAAAAACCTTAACTCGATTAAAACACAGACAATAGCCTCTTCTGCTGAGTGGCCTCTATGGAGAGGAGTTTCGCTAACAAAACAGTTCTAAAGAGGACAGCCGAATGTAGACGAAAAAACGGTATTGCGATTCTCACCGGAAACAGATGTTCTTCATGCTTTAATTACTACTTTCACTATCCACGGAATTTGCCAAATAGTAGCTCAGTAACTAAGTCATTGTACTTTCAGTTCAAAGAAACTGGTTTAAATTTTCACACCAGCATCCTTAAGTTGACTATTGGCGTCCATCTTAAATCATTAGATGCACTTTGCTTCTTCAGAAAAAGCGCAGTATGTAATCCTTTTTACTTGGTTACATTCGAGTCCTTTTTTACTTTCAGAACAATCAGAGATGTCTAAAGTAGCACTTGAAAGCCTACTCAACAAGCTCATTGATATCTTTGTGAAAGAACGGGAGCTTTTGAAGATAAAAGCCTAATGTTTGGAAAAAAGAATACTCCAAGCGTCAGTCACCGGAAGAAAAAGGGGTGGACCGCTTTCCACCGCTGCCATGTCTCTTAGACACAATGCTCATTCAGGACCAACGATCATCCCAACCACAAGAGAACATCATACTTCTTGCTAGATGAGCTTTTGCGAACCCTTGAGATGAAAATCAACTCTAATGTTTCTCCAGAAAGTACACGTATGGACGGAGATCAAATAATCCCTGAATTATTTAGCCGTTCCTCATTCAAGTTGTTAGCCAAACTGAGCGAAATCTGCAACAGTTACTTATTATTTACGGACAGTAAAACCTTCTTGGTTTTAATCAAGATTTCCCCCGTATGCTGAATTTCCGAGGGCTAGTGACGGCTGTGTTGTTGCTGGGATTGATCGCAGTGCGTGCAGCACAAATTTTTAGGTGGACTGGAACCCGAGTAGTGATGCTATGCCATTTGTCCGTGAGCGGATGATCAACAGTATGATTAATTCTCATAAAATGAATTGGTAAGCTTATGAATGATATTATTCAACAAAATCAGCACTCAAATCGAACCTGCCCTCAGACCCATGGATTAGCGCAATTGCAGTTTTATTTGCTCGCGTGCTGCGGGGAGAAAACATAACATAAGTATTTACCATTTTGGTGAAAATAATGAAACACGTTTGAATCTGACTCCATAATTTGCAAAATTCATTTGCCTTTCCTGCCTATGAACCATAATCCAGAAAAAAAGGCATGTATATTTTGGAGCCCGTATCAGCCAGAAACAATCTTCTGCATAGTACGCAGTGCAGTGACTTTACTGTTTTATAGTCATGGAAACAAGATGTCGTTAGTAGAATCAAAAGTGGCGGTGGGTTCTTCGGTCGGTTTTGAACAGTACTCCATTTAAGACGATTTAGTGTTCTAAACTGTATATATTCACTTCTGCCTACTGTTAACACCAAAAATCACCACGTACAACATTCACACATTTACAACAGTTCCATCGCGTATTTCCTTTTCTCCCGCTGGTTATTTAGCAGAAGCACATTGATTTTACCTCGTTTGTGTATGCAGTGCTAGATTCGACGTTGATAATCATCAAGCACACAGGACAGACCGAATACATGTATTACAATCATTGTCCCGGTGGGTCAGGAAAACCATCTGTCATACATGAAAACCAGTTATCGACCAACTGGTTACTTTGTGAAAAACTAGCTGGACCAATGAACTTGATGGAAACGCACACACCCTGGCTACCCAAGTCATGTGATCATACAGTTCGGGTCTGCTCTTTATCAGGACAAATTGGTCTCGATGATGAAACGAAAGCCGATCAACAACAGGTAGGGTAATTACTCGGTTCTGATTGGTCAGTTAAGTGTCCAATCGTTAGGCGTCCTGCAAGCAACCGTGTACCGGGCAAACGACCTCAACGGATCACAGTCACAGGAGGACGTCACCTATAAAAGGAAGCTTTTGCTAAAGCCGGTAATATATCGCCGTTTAAAAGAAACACTGAAAGCTTCGAAAGCCAACTGAGATCGAAAATATGAACATCTACTTCGGTTCAATGGCCACTCCCCCTTACGCGGTTCATGCCTCAACCCCGCGTGGACCAAAGCCGTCCTTAAATCAAAACAGCTCCAATAATGTGCCACTCCTTAAGCCTCAAGCAGCCCTAGTTGCCCTTCTTTCTGGCCAACATTCCAATGATGTGGAAGAACAAAGTCGCTCCCCACTTGATGTAATCCTCCGACGCGGCTCTGAGGCCAATCCATGGGGTTTCCGTATACAGGGAGGCTCAGACTATCATCTCCAGTTAACCGTCTGCAAAGTGAGTCTTATTATCATGTTTGCAAGCTTCCCAAACTACTGAGTGTTTTCTCAACCACAGCACTTCCCATATGTAGGTCTGTGTGCATGTTGCTACCAGTTTTCATCTTTATTCCATACGGGAATTTGATTCACCTGAATTTTTTTGAGTGATTTTGTTAGCGAAGTTCGCTCCACTGCTAACAAACTGAGCTGAAGGATGGTGAAGGATCGCTTTTAAGTCCAGCAGTTTATGTCTTTAGTCTAGTGGGCACACGCATTCCGCCTATATTAACTAGCTTGACGTAGTAGTTTGCAAAAATCATTCTCGAGTCAGTTAACTTTGTCCAAATATAATGTCAGGCTTTTGTAAACTGTTAGAAGTCAACCAGCTTAACTTGAACTATGCGAGTTATTCCATTGTTCCCACGGCCATATTGAGGTTTTACTTCTAAAGAATATCCATACTCACGAATTTATGTAAAATGCTTGTGGAAGTAAATCCGAAATTCTACGTTTTTGGGTTCACTAGGATTCGCACATTTGAAGTGCATACTGAGCACCCAGTAATCCTCTTGTTACAAAGGAACTCAGCACGACCTCTCCTCAAATAAGTGGTATGGTTGATGGGTTTCTATGATGCACTTTTCATACAGTCATATTATGCCTAGCAGAATAGACGGTGTGTCAAGGATGGATGTTCTGAATTTGCAGTACAAAAATTTGTCGTTTTAACCAATCCTTGCCTATGAATAAAATCTGGAACGTATTGAAAATCACCAGCGGTCCACAACTTAGAATCCTAAAAGAGATACTAAGAGATGGCTGTTTAGCGCAAGAGGCACATTTAAGTCACTTGCGGTTAACCAGTCAGGTAACAAAAGTGCACTCACTTCAAGGGTTTGTGTTCCTCATCCTTCAAGGGGCTGTCAAGTAACAGATGACCTCTCACTAAAAATGATCGAACGGATATCATGTAGCCGCTACTATTGACTCAATTTGTCCTTCTTTTTATTGATGATCGTAGTTCCACCAGAATAGTCCGCCACACACTGTCAACTGGGTATCACCGTGTCAGACACTATGTTGGCAACGAGGAGTGGATGAGCACAAACTGACGATTCTGCGGAGCAACTCCACTGCTAAGAGACAAGGTATATCGAGGAGAACGAAACTACCACTTTACTCATAAATTGCGAGCAATCTCTATTTAGGAAGGAAGACATACAATAAAGCACACTGCTTTTCTGTCCTAATGTCCTCATACGAGGGTTTTACTCACAGTTGGAGGGAGCTTACACTATATTCTGAATTCGTGCAATTCATGCTTTTTGTTAGCTACCTGTAAGTCAATGATATGTTGGTAAAACTAGACAATGAATGTTTTCGGATTCAACCCAAATGTTGCGTATTTTCAACCTGAGTGTAAAAACCTCCGCAATGCACCTCTGCTTCCCAGTGTAGGTAGACTTTGCTCACATGATGAAATTCATATTATGAGTGCAAGTAAAATCTAACATGCATTGCGGATCACTGTAAGTTACAGCAGGAACAGGTAGATCTCTTCGGAAAGGTGTATACTTGTATACTTTGATGTAAAAAGTGGAAACATAGTGGGCAGTTGTAGGAACCGTCTGATTTTTGTGCCTATACGAAAAATTAATGGCATGTTCGGCATCAGCATGAATAGTTCTGTAAGATATCACATTCTATTACAGTAAAAGTATCTCTGACATAGATTATCCGAAGAAAATAACGTTTCCATTCAGTAACTTGTTCACTTTCGATATCACCTATAAAGTGCCGTTTTCCGAATACACTAAAATTTTGGATGGATGGTAAGATCCTATTCGCCGGTCAAAATCATAGTAAGTCGTTCTGAGTCTTCTACTGTTGCGAATTTCTTTTTTCATTGCCAGGTGGTCAGTGACCGCACTACCTCATCCACGCTAACCCAACACCGTGTTGGTCCTCTGTTCAAGGCAATGCCATATTGTCCTAATCTCTGGTGCATCTGGCAGGCGAACACTGACATGAGACTGTTGATTCCGATTATGTTGATTTGTGTGATTTCAACGTATGCGCCACTAGCGTCCGTTTTAATATTCGAGTAGTGTAAGTTAATCTGGCGCCAATATGGCTTATTGTCGCATTCGGCTATTCATGCGTCTGACCTGACTGGAGCTGACTTGTATGATGCCAGCGTGTTTGGCTTGGATTATAGCTTGATTCGGTGGGACTGATATCAACCTGCTTACAGAAATCTTCACTAGGACTACTCGTGCTGAATCAGTTCCACTATTTTAGACTGGCTCAACAGCCCAAGCCGGACTCAAAAACGGACATCGCCGAACGTGGTCATTACGTTTTGACCTATAGGAGGTTAACGCTCGAGAGTACATTGACAGAAGCCTTTTAAAATCTTTCACGTGAGTGTTTTTTGCAAGGCGCCCGCAATCGATTTCAACTGAAGGGGGCAATATTGAAGAAATGCACATGCACTAGGAGTTACACATCCTCCAACTCAGATAGATGGAAAGGAGAAAAACTTGAGTTTTTTCCCTAGTTTAATAACAGTACTGTTCACAGCACGAAAGAAGAGCGGATGTGATAAGGAAGAGACTGAACTGCGTCAGTCTCCTCTCTTTAGTTCTCACTGTATGCTAGCTAATGAATGCTCATCAGGCTGGCAAAAGCAATATATTTTAGTTCCTGCTGGCCAATGGCGTATCCCTGCATGCGTAGTATTCAGTAAGGACAAATGACCAGTTAACTAAAGCATCTGACTTTTAACCGGTAATCATTTTAGCCTGACCAGTGAAAACAAAGCTCATTTTCTCCAATATACAGTCTCTCGACGTTATAGGTATCATCTTTAGTCACTTATTTGGTTTTAAGTTAGAGATTCTTCTTCTTGGAACTCTACGCAAGAGAGAACACAACTAAGCTATCAAATCTAAACTGTCCCGTGTATCCTGAAAGACCACATTTACACGCTAGCACCTGAAGCGAGTTTATTTTACATATTCACCTAATGTACCTGTTCTACATGCTCACTATCCATTGTTCGTGTGACAGGGTGTAAAATTCCCCAGCTGTGTGAGAGTTTAGCACTCCCACTATTACGTCATTTTGTCGTTGTGGCCTGAACTCAGCCATCGACTGCCTTACGAGTAAAACGTGAAGCTGAAGGCTTGGGATTAGTCTCTATTTCCAGGCTCCCGCTTGAGAAGCCTAACCTCTCAGAGAGGTCTGGCAAACAATCGGTGGATTTACTAAACCTCTCTGAAACGCTGAATACCCAATCGACCCTAAACAGTTTCCAGTTGATTGAAGCCTAACCTCTTCATGTATCATGTTGACTACAAAGAAAAGGAAAACATCTTCCCTTCGACATGAGGCGTGTAACTTGACGACTTTCCTGGATCAAGAGGAAAGAGGCAAGCCCGAAAGACGAACTGCTAATAACACACGGGAAATCAAACGCCACAGGATAGACCTTTCCCAAATCAAAGAGACCTAAACGGTTAATCAAGGGAAACTAAGGAACACTGGCTTTCAGGTGGAAATAACGTAAAAAGCCGACGTATGCAATGTGTCGGATTCGCAGTTGTAGATCACATTAATCAGACAGTAATGGGTGAACCAAGCTGCATAAATCCGAGAATACCTGTCACCTAAATCTGGTTATCAAGAACTAGGTTTACAACACAACCGAAAATATGCTCTCCCGTTTCCACACACAGATGAAGAAAAGAACAAATTATACGATCAACTACAGGACTTAGTCATATCCGTGGATCGTATGTTGTCCCACTCTAGATACAACCACAACCAGACTTCCGTAGCTTTCCTCGATCAGCCAGTCGAGTCGGACTGAGTTCGGTGGAGTGTATTCCAGAGCATTCAGGCTTGTCTCCTCCATTCATAGTCAGGAGATCCCTTATGCTCCATGTCCCGAATTTCTACTTGAAGTCTGCGCCGTGTGCGGAAAGATGAGCCTTTTGAATGATAGGAGCTGACTCCGAGCGTTCACTTTCAGGGTCCTACCCGCAAGCTAGTGATGGCTGAACCTACCCGTAGTTCTGAGAAGTAAGACCTAGAAACCTGACTTCTAACGTGGATAATGTGGTGGTCACCATTGTTAACCGTTGGACTATCAGATTAGACAATTTCTGAAGTCAATTCTTCCTAATCCGTTGTTCCTAGAGGAAGGCAGAGTCAATGTTTCCACAAATGTGGGAATTTGGATCACCTAGGAAAAACATCTAACTGTTTATATATAAAAACAGGACTTCGCCTGGTCCCTTAGCAGAGACTTGTTGCTCTCTATCGAACTGCTGTCCGTTGGAATTTCTGAAAGGTTTAAAATCCAGTGGGCCTAGCTACAGTCAGCGTAGCTCACAAAGATGCTGAAATCAAACCAACACAGTAAGCTGTTCGACTGATTATGCACGCTAATCTGTCAAAACCATTTTCGTGGACATTAGTACTTGATCAACTTAGAGTGCGGTCAACAAATTTTTCCACATTTTCAAACAGCCTCAAAGGCAACGATTCTGTTTGTTATCCCTTTTTTACTCAAAAGAAAATTTTGTGCCAGGACCTCTCAAAAACTCATTGGAAAAGAATTCCTCCTAAAGGATATCACTCAGAATATTTCTTCTATCAGATTACCTGGTCATTATTCCGCCCTAGATATTTCTGTGCAGTATAGACGTAAGCTTTCAAAGATCAGTGATTGACGTACCCAGTCACTGTACTCAACCTGGAAAACACGCACTGGATATACACTATCTTCGCTCACCAATGGACTCAAAGCTCATTAACTCTTGATGTTCGATCAGGATGGCAAAAACTCTCCGTTAGTTTCAACCCAGAATCAGGTGGCTTAAGGCAAGAAGTTTATTCTTCTTGTCGCATACCAGCCTGGTTCATTTGTCTTTTAGCCCAGAACTACCTGCTGAGTTGTCCTTTCACTCAATGCCTTGTGAAACGTGTGGAGAAATTAGCTCAGTACTG